ATAAAGCACTAATGATGAGCAATCAAAAAATAGCAGAATCTGCTTTACCAGCATGGAAAATAAGGAATAATCACTAGGAATTTTATTGACCTAAGAAAAGCTTTGACACAGAGACCACGTGCATCCTACTCCACAACTGACCACTACGGTATAAGAAGGCCGATGCGCTTGCTTATTTCAAATCTTACATTACTAATAGGTATATCAGACGTCACCAATAACGACACAGCTTCAGCAACAAGGCCACTTGATACTGAGGTTTCCGCAGGGAAGTGCCTTGGTCCTCCTGTCTTCCTCATTTACATCAATGACCTTCCAAACGTATCCAACGACTGAAAATCCCATACTCTTTGCACCTGAATTACACACTTATTCATCTCTCACCCGACAATCGTGCCACCCTTTACACCATTTGAATGAGGAGCTAATTAAAATATCGACTTGGATGACAGCCAATAAACTTAACCATTAACACTGACAAAACTTACTATATTAGTTTGGTAGCAGAGCAGAGCGATGCACAAATTAACATTAAGATTGACAACACTCTAGATAACCAGAACTACTGGGAAAATTCCATATGCTTATACCTTGGACAATAACCTGAATTTCAGCAACCCAATATCCAGCAATAATAGCCAAAAAAGTATCCAAATCGGTTTGGAACCTCACCACGATACGATACTACGTGCCGCAAAATGCCTTCTCACACTATACTCACTCACTTATTTATCCATACCTCACCTATGCTATTTGTGCTTGGATCAACATGCAGCAACACACCAAAACCCATAATAACCCAACAAAAAGCTGCAGTAAAGAATAATCACTAAATCCCATCCCTGGGCAGCACACCCCCCCACTCTTCAAAGGATCTAACTTACACCAGTTTCAGTACATCCCCACTTACTACTGTGGCAATCTATAACTACAGGGCCTTAACCTCTAATATCAGACCTCTGACCTAAAAAGCTTTCTTGATAGTTGTGACATAACCACAAGGCATATCATCCAGAATTCTAACACTCTAACGACATTCCCCGTGTCCCGACTAAAAACCTTTACAAAAATTCAAAGTATGTCAAAGAGACCTAAAATCTGGAATACCCTACCTGAGAACTCTAGAACTGCAGACAACATTCATGCACCTTCAAAACTACCATAAGAAAACATCTTATCTCCCTGATACACCCCGTCAACATACATCACGAATACCACCTGTTGGTATTCCTACGTACACTCGATCACAAAATGCGATCATTTGACCATAACGAAATATAATCTCGTCTATAAAATAATGAATCCTGTGATAAACTCCCATACTGAAACTATATACTGTGCCAAAACAAATAGCATTCCACATATTGCTAAACTCACAAATAGTATTTAGTCTCAACTTAGCCATATACCAACGTACCTATAATTTGTACTAGTTTTACATTATAAGGAATAAAACTAAGTATGCCCTAAATGCTTCTTACAGTACCCAGAACCTAACCTGTATAAGTGGGATTGTACGTAGGCCCAGAACCTGATCCTGTAGTACTTGGGATCGTACAGTAGCCCCAGAACCAACCTGTAAAAGTGGGATAGTACAGTAGGCCCAGAACCTAACCAGTAAATATAGTGGGACGTACAGTAGCCCAGAACCTAACCTGTAATAAGTGGGGATCGTACAGTAGCCCAGAACCTAACCTGTATAAGTGGGATCGTACAGTAGCCCAGAACCTAACCTGTATAAGTGGGATCGTACAGTAGCCCAGAACCTGACCTGTATAAGTGGGATCGTACAGTAGCCCAGAACCTAACCTGTATAAGTGGGATCGTACAGTAGCCCAGAACCTAACCTGTATAAGTTGGGATCGTACAGAAAGCCCAGAACTCATGACCTGTAAGAAGTGGGATCGAAACAGGTAGCCCAGAACCTAACTGTATACGTGGGATTCGTACAGTAGCACCATGAAACCAAACCTAGTACAAGTGGATCGTACAGTAGCCAGTAACCTAACTGTATAAGTGTATCGTACAGTAGCCCAGAACCAACTGTATAAGTGGGATCATACAGTATCCAAACCTCAAACCTGGAATAAGTGGGATCGTACAGTAGCCCAGAACCTGACCTGTATAAGTGGGATCATACAGTAGCCACAAACCTAACTGTTATATAGTGGGATCGTACAGAGTAGCCCGAACCTGACCTGTTAATAAGTGGGATCGTACAGTACCCAGACAACCTAACCTATATAAGTGGGATCGTACAGTAAGCCCAGAACCTAACCTGTAACGTTGGATTGTACAAGAAGCCCATGAACCTAACATGTAAAAGTGGGATCGTACAAGTAGGCCCAGAACCTGACCTGCAACAAGTAGGATCGTACAGTAGCCCGAACCTAACCTGTATAAGTTGGGATCGTACAGTAGCCCAGAATCAAACCGTATAAGTGGAACGTACAGTAGCCCAGAACCTAGACCTGAATAAGTGGGATCGTACAGTAGCCCCATAACCTAACCTTGTATAAGTGGGATCGAACAGTATCCCTCCGAACACTAAAACTGTATAAGTGGGAATCGTCCAGTAGCCCCAGAACCTAACCTGTATAAGAGGGATCGAACAGTAGCCCAGAACTAACTCTTGTATAAGTGGATCGCTACAAGTAGTCCCAGAACCTAACCGTGTAATAAATAAGTGGGGATCGACAGTAGCCCATAACTAACCAGTATAAGTGGGGAACGTACAGTAGCCCAGGAACCCTGACCTGTATAATGGATCATAGAGTAGCCCAGAACCTGACCTGTATAAGTGTGGGATCACAATACAGTAGCCCAGAACCTGACCAGTATAAGTGGGATCATATCAGTAGCCCAGTAATTCTAAGCTAATAAGTGGGATGTACGTAGCCCAGAACCTAACCTGTATAAGTGGATCGTACAGTAGCCCAGAACCTAACCTTTATAAGATGGGATCGTACAGTAGCCCCGGAAAATAACCCTGCTGTAAAATGTGGGGCCGTCCTGATACCTATATTGTGTTTTGAGAGGATACATGTAATAAGCTCCAGCTTTTGGTCATGCCTTACAGTTTTCGAGTGGACCTGACTGAGCCCAACATATCTATTTTTCAAGGCCTTGTAAGGAAACTAACTTTTCATTAGTTACTGTCAGCTCATTCACATCTTTTTAACACTCAAACATGTAGAAATGGGGCGTCTTGGGGAGACATAGATGGTTCATTTAAAAGTAATTTCCAATCATGGTCCCTTCTCTTTTTGAAGCAGTTACAGAAAAGAACGCCGTCCCTTATATACCTGTAGCTTTAGCCTGTAATATTTTGTTTGACCCAGACATACCTCCTCTTGTTCTATGCTCCTCATTATTGACAACGTTTCTCATAGAACTGATATTTTTCTCATTTATGACATTCCTCTGTTTTGTTTTCTTATCATATATCAGCATACACATTACTGAATTACATCCTGGAAACAGCATGATTCTTTAACCCATTCAGGGTCCAGAGGACAAATTTCCAAAGTGTACATCCAGGGTCCAAGAATTTAAAAAAAAAAAAAAAAAAAAAAAACAAAAAAAATTCTTTAAGAAATTGTTTAGAGAAATCTATTTCTTGAAGGTAATAAAACAAAAGTATGAAATGTTGATAGAAAATTGATGAAATTATGCTCTCGCAAATTTTGATGTGTCAGCGATATTTATGAATTGGCAATTTTGCCAACTTTGACTCCCATTTTAGGCCAATTACGTTATTCCAGTTGACCAAATTCTTAGCTATTTAACTAGTATTACTTCTATTCTATCGATTGAGCACAAGAAATCGCCAAGTCAACTGTTTCAACTACAAAATAAAGTGATCAGAAATTGGTAATTTGGCCAATTAACACAAAGTTCAAAATATTCCAATTTCAAAATAGGGTCCAGAATAAACATTGTAGGTATTCATGGCACTAAACTAACATTTCCTCTGTTCATTAGTTACGTTTTATTTTTTATTCACATAATGAATTTTTATTCAAACCAAAAAATAGAAGATTTACTGTTATGCAATATTGTAATAATTGTATAAATATTATCACCACATTTGTGAATGTATATTAGACCCACCAGCTGGCGTGTATTAGACGTGTGAGGTTGTTTGTTTACTCTTGAACATCAGCAAAAATTTAACATTTCCGCTACTTTGAGCTCAGTTTCAAGCTATTTCCAGTGCTCAAACCAATCAAAATCATCTCGATTTCCGTAATATGTCTTCCATTCTATCAAATGAGACCAAGAAATCGCAAATACAACTATAAAAAACATACGAAAAAACACTGCAAAGTCGCTGTTTTAATCGAAAATCACGGTCTCATTTTTTTTCTCATTATACACTGTGTGCTGCAGGATTTGTTTTATGTGGTGCACACATACCACATAGATGTATTCTCTCATATCTATTCCCAAATTTACCACTCACAGCTTATCAGAGTGAGCTGAGCTCATGGCGTAGATCTACGGTTTGGACCCTGAATGTAAAGCCGTAGATCTATGGCACGGACCCTGAAAGGGTTAAACAAAACAGCCACGTCCCGTCATCACCCATAAGCCATGCATGTCATAAAAAATAAATGAAGTGCCAGGAGCAAGGGGCTAGTTATCCCTTCTTCTGTACTTAATTACAAGAAAGTTTAAGAAAATTTTGAATTGCAGCTGCATTTTGAATAAAATCATTTTTGTTTACATCTGACTGTGAGTCTTGAAAGACTGACCAAGGTGCCCTAGATTGGTGTATGCTGATTCCCTCTAAGACTTGAAAAGACTAAAAGAATGGCTCTCTACATAAATTTTTCCCAACTTGTCATATAGAGAATGTCTGTCTTCCATGTTAGTGACCAGTCTAGTCTAGGTGTTGTACTGCAACAAATATGCACCAAAAATGAAAATTCCTGCATTAACAAAAATTTAAAACCCACTCACAAAAAAATTACAAAGAAAACAAAAGCAGTACTTACATATAATTTCTTTTGTAGTTTCAAAGGCCATTTCTACAATATTCTCATCATGGTCTGAGGCTGCTAGATGGAAGACGCTGAATATATTTTTCCAACCTGACTTGATGTTCTTAGCTTGAGAATTTACCATCTGTGTTATGCATCTTACAACCATATCTTTTATTGCTGGTGACCTGGTAAAAACCCATACACAACTATGTATAATACAGTAAAAAAAGTAATAAATTTTTCATACAAATGACAAAAGATGATACTTTAAAATGTGCCAAACAATAGTTAAAGGAACATCGACATAAGGACACTAAGAAATCTTATCAAAGAGCTCCTACAAATAACTCTCACACCAGGTCTCATAAATTAACAAGAAATTAACATATGAACAAGAACAAGTGGAGAATATGCAGAAAAGTGAAGATCAATATACAGGAAGGCCCCACTTATACAACAGATTAGGTTCCAGGTTACTGCCAGAAAGCAGACATTACCGGCAAGCAGAACACCATTTTTTCCACTTATAAATGCATATGAATGCCAGATAACAAGTTTACACTAACATATATTAAGTTAGCAACAGAACTAGGCATTAACCCCTTAACTGTCCAAATGCAGATCTACGTTCTCTTGCTCAGCGCTCTGAATATTTTGATTTTTTTTTTAAAATAAAGAGGACATTTTTATACATAGCTTTTTTTTTTTTTTTTAACAAGTCTGCCGTCTCCCACCGAGGCAGGGTGACCCAAAAAGAAAGAAAATCCCCAAAAAGAAAATACTTTCATCATCATTCAACACTTTCACCCCACTCACACATAATCACTGTTTTTGCAGAGGTGCTCAGAACACAACAGTTTAGAAGCATATACAGTGGACCCACGACATTTGAAGGCATCGACATTCGATAAATCCGACATTCGATGCATTTTAACGCAAAAATTTCACTTCGACATTCGATGGAAAACCCGACATTTGATACAATTCGTACGAGACGTGTCCACGTGTGACCTGAACTGCCCCGTGTGTGCCAGTGTTTACAAGCCAACCAGTGTGCACGCATCTAAGGATACATTCGGTACATTCCATATTATCCAAATTATCACTGTTTTTGGTGCTTGTTTCTGCAAAATAAGTAACCATGGGCCCCAACAAAGCTTCTAGTGCCAACCCTTCGAGAAAAAAGGTGCTAATGGCTATTGAAATGAAGAAAGAGATAACTGCAAAGTACGAAAGTGGAGTGCATGTGTCGGCATGCATGATAATTTGCAACTAGTGGTGATGTGAGTGAAGTTAAGGCCAGCAAAGGTTGGTTTGAAAGATTTAAGAATTGTAGTGGCATACACAGTGTGGTAAGGCATGGTGAGGCTGCCAGTTCAAGTCCTAATGGAAGGGGATTCCCCTTCTAAACACTAACACAATCCACACTCTTCCCTCCTCCCATCCCATCAATCATCACCAGATCTTTATTAACCCTTTGAGGGTCAACAGGTCCTCTCCGAAACTTGTTCTCAGGGTTGGCCAAATTTAAAAAAAAAAAAAATTATTTTTTATGAAAAGATAGAGAATCTTTTCCCGATCATTATGACACTAAAAGTATGAAATTTGATGGAAAACTTACGGAATTATGCTCTTGCGAAGTTAGCGGTCTCGACGATGTTTACACATTGGCGATTTTGCCCACTTTGAGCCCTATTTTCGGCCAATTCCAATGTACTAGTCGACAAAAATCATAACTATTTCAACTAATGTGACATTTATTGTGGAAACGTTTCGCTCTCCAGGAGCTTTATCAAGCCATTACAAACAATACATGGAGAGCGAAACGTTGCCACAATAAATGTCACATTAGTTGCACTTGTGTCCTTTTACTTTACATATTGTCGGTAATTCTACCAACTTTTTTACATAACTATTTCGCTAGAACTCCATTTTTTCTATCGAATGAGTATAAGAAACCATCCATTTACCAATTTCAACTATCCAATAAAGTGGTCAGAATTTAGCAATTTTGCCAATTTCACACAAATTTCAAAAGATGCCAATTTCCAAATAGGGTCCAGAATAAACAAGAAAGACATTCCTGCCACTAAAATAACAAGTTCTCTCTTCGTTAGTCACATCCTCAGGCCCCTCTTATATTTCTTTGGCTTTCCACTTTGAATTTTTATTATTACAAAAAATAGAAGATTTACTGTTATGCAGACTGCTGCATTAGTGTAGAAATGGTATAAATAATATCAGTGTACTTGTGAAAGAATATTAGACTCACCAGTTGACGTGTATTGGACGCTTGGCATGATTTATTTACTTTTGAACTTTGATAAAAATCGAACATTTCTGCTACTTTGCGCTCAATTTCAAGGTACTTTTCATTGTAAAACCAGTCAAAATCATCTCAATTTTTGTAATATGTCTTCGATTCTATAAAATGAGACCAAGAAAAGTAGAATACAACAATAAATACCATACAAAAATACAGTGCAAAGTCGCTGTTTTATTCCAAAAACACGGTCAAAGTTTTTTTTTCTCATTACGCACTGTGTGCTGCAGGATTTTTTTTATACTGCGCACACTGACCACATACACCCATTCTTTCATATGTAGGCCTACCAGCTTCTCTCACCAGATTTGAGGGCGCAAGAATTTAGGTGTACTAGTACGTCAAAAACCCTGGGTCGTAAGCTGTACTAGTACGGCCGAAACCCTCAAAGAGTTAGTGTCAATTATTCTATAGTTATTAATCTATTGTTATTGTTGTTATTGTAATTATTCTATTGCATTAAATTTAATATTTCATGTGGTAAAATTTTTTTTTTTCATACCTTTGGGTACCTTGCACGGATTAATTTGATTTCCATTATTTCTTATGGGGAAAATTAATTCGACTTTCGATATTTTCGACATTCGATAGCTCTCAGGAACGGATTAGTATCGAATGTCGAGGGTCCACTGTACGTAAAAAGATACAAAACACATCCCTCTAAACTGCTAATATCCCAAACCCCTCCTTTAGAGCGCAGGCATTGTACTTCCCATTTCCAGGACTCAAGTCTGGCTATATAAAAATAACTGGTTTCCCTGAAACCCTTCACTAAATATTACCCTGCTCGCACTCCAACAGATCGTCAGGCCCCAAATACTATTCGTCTCCATTCACTCCTATCGAACACACTCGCGCACGCCTGCTGGAAGCCCAAACCCCTTGCCCACAAAACCTTCCTTACCCCTTCCTTCCAACCTTTTCGAGGACGACCCCTACCCCGCCTTTCTTCCCCTACAGATTCATACGCTCTCCACGTCATTCTACTTTGATCCATTCTCTCTAAATGACTTACCTGTTCTTTTTCATTATGTGCTCAAATGGACGAAGAAACTCTTTCTGAAAGCGGAAATTGGAGAACTCTCCCTTTTCAATGAACTTCATTGATAACTGCCGTAGCGAGTCTACGGCAAACACAGCAATATCCTCATTGGGGTTGCAACCCACCTTATTAAAGTGGTCACCCAGCACCTGGGAACATAATGATGAAAGTAAGACTACCATCATACAGCACATGGAAAAAGCCTAATAAAAAAAATTAACCAACAGGAGATACTTTTAACAAAAATATGACAGAAATAAAAGTTTATAAGAAGTTGATTCTAGCTTAACAGAACTACTGTAGTCATATGTTTTATCTACCTGTTTTTACCTACTAATAGCTACCTGAGCTGAGCTATCTTTAGAAGTTTAATCTACTGGTCTGTAATAAGTTTTTTTTTTTCAACAAGTTGGCCATCTCCCATTGAGGAAGGGTGACCCAAAAAGAAAGAAAATTCCCAAAAAGAAAATACTTTCATCATCATTCAACACTTTCACTTCATTCATACATAACCACTGTTTTTTGCAGAGGTGCCCAGATACAACAATTTAGAAGCATATATAATGAAAAAAAGAAAAAAAATTTGGAGTTAAACAAGTTAAGAAAGCCTAGGGAAAGTATGGATTTGTCAGTTAAAAACAGAGTAGGGGAGTTAGTAGATGGGGAGATGGAGGTTTTGGGTAGACAGCGAAAATATTTTGAGGAACTTTTAAATCTCGATGAAGAAAGGGAGGCGGTAATTTCATGCACAGGCCAAGGAGGTATACCATCTTTTATGAGTGAAGAAGAGCAGGATGTGAGTGTGGGGGAGGTGCATGAGGCATTATGTAGTATGAAAGGGGGTAAAGCAGCTGGAACTGACGGGATCATGACAGAAATGTTAAAAGCAGGGGGGGACATAATGTTGGAGTGGTTCGAATTTTTGTTTATTAAACGTATGAAAGAGGGGAAAGTACCTAGGGATTGGCGGAGAGCGTGTATAGTCCTTTATATAAAGGGAAGGGGGACAAAAGAGACTGTAAAAATTATAGAGGAATAAGTTTACTGAGTATACCAGGAAAAGTGTACAGTAGGGTTATTACTGAAAGAATTAGAGGTAAGACAGAATGTAGAATTGCGGATGAGCAAGGAGGTTTTAGAGTGGGTAGGGGACGCATAGATCAAGTGTTTACATTGAAGCATATATGTGAGCAGTATTTAGATAAAGGTAGGGAAGTTTTTATTGCATTTATGGACTTAAAAAAGGCATATGATAGAGTGAATACAGAAGCAATGTGGCAGATGTTGCAAATATATGGAATAGGTGGTAAGTTACTAAATGCTGTAAAGAGCTTTTATGAGGATAGTGAGGCTCAGGTTAGTGTGTGTAGAAGAGAGGGAAACTACTTCTCGGAAAAAGTAGGTCTTAGACAGGGATGTGTAATGTCACCATGGTTGTTTAATATATTTATAGATGGAGTTGTAAAAGAAGTAAATGCTAGGGTGTTCGGGAGAGGGGTGAGATTAAATTATGGGAAATTAAATACAAAATGGGAAGTGACACAGTTACTTTTCGCTGATGATACTGTGCTTATGGGAGATTCTAAAGAAAAATTGCAAAGGTTAGTGGACGAATTTGGGAGTGTGTGAAAAGGTAGAAAGTTGAAAGTGAACATAGAAAAGAGTAAGGTGATGAGAGTATCAAATGATTTAGATAAAAGAAAAATTGTATATCAAATTGGGGAGGAGGAGTATGGAAGAAGTGAATGTTTTCAGATACTTGGGAGTTGACGTGTCGGCGGATGGATTTATGAAGGATGAGGTTAATCATAGAATTGATGAGGGAAAAAAGGTGAGTGGTGCGTTGAGGTATATGTGGAGTCAAAAAACGTTATCTATGGAGGCAAAGAAGGGGATGTATGAAAGTATAGTAGTACCAACACTCTTATATGGATGTGAAGCTTGGGTGGAAAAATGCAGCAGCGGAGATGGTTGGAAAGGCAGTGGAGATTTTCCTGTCTAAGGGCAATGTGTGGTGTAAATATTATGCAGAAATTCGGAGTGTGGAAATTAGGAGAAGGTGTGAAGTTAATAAAAGCATTAGTCAGAGGGCAGAAGGGGTTGTTGAGGTGGTTTGGTCATTTAGAGAGAATGGATCAAAGTAGAATGACATGGAAAGCATATAAATCTATAGGGGAAGGAAGGAGGGGTAGGGGTCGTCCTCGAAACGGTTGGAAAGAGGGGGTAAAGGAGGTTTTGTGGGCGAGGGGCTTGGACTTCCAGCAAGCGTGATGAGCGTTTTTAGATAGGGGTGAATGGAGACGAATGATACTTGGGACCTGACGATCTGTTGCAGTGTGAGCAGGGTAATATTTAGTGAAGGGATTCAGGGAATATTTTGAGGAATTGTTAAATGTTGATGAAGATAGGGAAGCTGTGATTTCGTGTATAGGGCAAGGAGGAACAACATCTTGTAGGAGTGAGGAAGAGCCAGTTGTGAGTGTGGGGGAAGTTCGTGAGGCAGTAGGTAAAATGAAAGGGGGTAAGGCAGCCGGGATTGATGGGATAAGAGATAAGATAAGATTTCGTTCGGATTTTTAACCCCGGGGGGTTAGCCACCCAGGATAACCCAAGAAAGTCAGTGCGTCATCGAGGACTGTCTAACTTATTTCCATTGGGGTCCTTAAATCTTGTCCCCCCGGATGCGACCCACACCAGTCGACTAACACCCAGGTACCTATTTGCTGCTAGGTGAACAGGACAATAGGTGTAAGGAAATGTTTCCACCCGCCGGGAATCGAACCCGGGCCCTCCGTGTGTGAAGCGGGAGCTTTAGCCACCAGGCCACCGGGATAAAGATAGAAATGTTAAAAGCAGGTGGGGATATAGTTTTGGAGTGGTTGGTGCAATTATTTAATAAATGTATGGAAGAGGGTAAGGTACCTAGGGATTGGCAGAGAGCATGCATAGTTCCTTTGTATAAAGGCAAAGGGGACAAAAGAGAGTGCAAAAATTATAGGGGGATAAGTCTGTTGAGTATACCTGGCAAAGTGTATGGTAGTTATTATTGAAAGAATTAAGGGTTAAGACGGAGAATAGGATACGAAAGAACAAGGAGGCTTTAGGAAAGGTTTGGGGATGTGGGGGACCCGGGGTTTACAGTGAAAAATATAAGTGAACAGTATTTAGATAAGGCTAAAGAGGTCTTGTGGCATTTTGGATTGGAAAAGGCGTATGACAGGGTGGATAGGGGGGAATGTGGCAGATGTTGCATGTGTATGGTGTAGGAGGTAGGTTACTGAAAGCAGTGAAGAGTTTTTATGTGGATAGTGAGGCTCAAGTTAGAGTATGTAGGAAAGAGGGAAATTATTTCCCAGTAAAAGTAGGCCTTAGACAAGGATGTGTGATGTCACCGTGGTTGTTTAATATATTTATAGATGGGGTTGTAAGAGAAGTAAATGCGAGGGTCTTGGCAAAAGGCGTGGAGTTAAAAGATAAAGAATCACACATAAAGTGGGAGTTGTCACAGTTGCTCTTTGCTGATGACACTGCGCTCTTGGGAGATTCTGAAGAGAAGCTGCAGAGATTGGTGGATGAATTTGGTAGGGTGTGCAAAAGAAGAAAATTACAAGTGAATACAGGAAAGAATAAGGTAATGAGGATAACAAAAAGATTAGGTGATGAAAGATTGGATATCAGACTGGAGGGAGAGACTATGGAGGAGGTGAATGTATTCAGATATTTGGGAGTGGACGTGTCAGAGGATGGGTCTATGAAAGATGAGGTGAATCATAGAATTGATGAGGGGAAAAGGGTGAGTGGTGCACTTAGGAGTCTGTGGCGACAAAGAACTTTGTCCTTGAAGGCAAAGAGGGGAATGTATGAGAGTATAGTTTTACCAACGCTCTTATATGGGTGTGAAGCATGGGTGATGAATGTTGCAGCGAGGAGAAGGCTGGAGGCAGTGGAGATGTCATGTCTGAGGGCAATGTGTGGTGTGAATATAATGCAGAGAATTCGTAGTTTGGAAGATTAGGAGGAGGTGCGGGATTACCAAAACTGTTGTCCAGAGGGCTGAGGAAGGGTTGTTGAGGTGGTTCGGACATGTAGAGAGAATGGAGAGAAACAGAGTGACTTCAAGAGTGTATCAGTGTGTAGTGGAAGGAAGGCGGGGTAAGGGTCGGCCTAGGAAAGGTTGGAGGGAGGGGGTAAAGGAGGTTTTGTGTGCGAGGGGCTTGGACTTCCAGCAGGCATGCGTGAGCGTGTTTGATAGGAGTGAATGGAGACAAATGGTTTTTAATACTTGACGTGCTGTTGGAGTGTGAGCAAAGTAACATTTATGAAGCGGTTCAGGGAAACCGGCAGGCCGGACTTGAGTCCTGGAGATGGGAAGTACAGTGCCTGCACTCTGAAGGAGGGGTGTTAATGTTGCAGTTTAAAAACTGTAGTGTAAAGCATCCTTCTGGCAAGACAGTGATGGAGTGAATGATGGTGAAAGGTTTTCTTTTTCGGGCCACCCTGCCTTGGTGGGAATTGGCCAGTGTGATAATAATAAAAAAAAAGATTAATACTATAATCAAAGGGGAAGCGCTAAACCCGTAGGATCATACAGTGCCTGTGGCGGGATGTGGAAGGTATTCAGGCTTAATTCAGGGAGCACAGATCCAATTCCCAAGATCAATAGCCCCTCACCAGCATCAAGGAACCTTCCTTGAGGGGAAGTCTACTCTCTTCTTTATATCAGTCAATAAGGGTAGTGAATCTCTATTTTTTAAATCTCATACTATAAACAAGCCCACAATCAGTATGGGTCAAACAGATTTTAGTTATAATTTTTATAATCAGGGGAATCATTATTCCATTTGTAGGTTTTAATCATTATTACTGTACATTTATGAGGAGCACTGAATCTGTGGGTATCATACCATGTCTGGGGAAATGAGAGGTCTGGCCAAGGAAGGGGAGAGCAGATCTGATTCCTTATATCAAGAGCCTCCTACCAGTATCAAGGGACTTCCCTAGAAGCACCTAGAATCAAGAGCCTCTCTCCAGCACCTTGGTGCTGGAGAGAGGCCCCACTTACACGGCGGGTTAGGTTCCAGGCTGTCGCCAGAAAGTAGACATCACCGGAAGGCAGAACTCCATTTTTTTTCCATTTATAAATGCATAT